AAATACAAAAGCCACCAGCATTATAATCCGAACGATCAAAGGGTAGCTCGCCCGGACCTTCTCCTAAACGCTCCAGTGTGTCTAAAAGTCCTTCGTAGGCCTCGGCTGTGGCCCCGTTTTCATAATCTAAATTGTATCCTCGAGTGGGAAACAGCTGGCCGTCGATCTCGGCATGGACATAAGACAGGTTAAAATGATCGAAATTAAAGGGAGTTGACTTGTATTCCCCAGCAAAAGAACGACTGGGTGATAGGGCTAGGAACATTACCTTTGGGAGCTGTCCAATCACGATATTCGCCCACACGTGTTGTTGCTGACCAGATATCAGAGTACACTGCCGCATCGCAACGCGTTCAACGTGATATTTTGCATTATTGCCAACCAGTTGCTTTGTCATTGCGGCAAGATAATCCGGAGCTGGTTCGTATTTGCGTATACGCAATCGGGGATTCCGAATCGCTACAACTTTAGGTGCTGCCAGGTCGCTATCGGCAATAAACGCTAGATTCTTTCGGTTACGAATCAGTTTGATGCTTAACTCTACGCCTGGTATAAGTGGGCGATCCTGCTGAAACAAGTCGCAGTGCAACTTGCCTGACAACTGGAGTGGCTTCAATGTTTGTATCCACTTTCGCCTTTTTTCAGCACCTTCACTATGGAAAGATGATTTTCCGTCTACTTTCTCTGTGAAAATCGGATCTTTGGACATTTCAGTGTCCATAGCGAACCCACCCAGACTTAGTTAGTTAGTTGCGCTTGTTTTGTATAACCCAAAAGGCTCTCCAAATAAGCGCGAATGTGATACATCGAGCTACTGTCCGATATACTGCGACCGCCTAGAGTAACACTAACTTGCTCGAAAAGACTGTGTACAATGTTGTTAATAGGGGCCAAACAGTCGCTATCCGTTGGTATGGTTCCAGCTGCATTAGTAACGTGAAGATCGCACGTAAATCGAATATCGGCTAAGCTAACCAATTCCGACTGACATGGAGCTACAGTAAATGAAAAATCATTGGATTCGTCGGTCGTGGCTTGTGAGGGCCCCAAATAATAATCTCTGGTATTCCATCGTTCCGTTAGTGTTGAAGGTAAGTAGAATAAGTGACTCTCTAACAACATTGATGGCTCTGAGCCGTTTTCTATAAGCGCCATTGCTACAGTTTGTCTTTTATCGCGTCAATTGCTCGTTGCTTCTTACTAATGCTGACTATTTTTTTCTTTCGTCCCTTAATGCCTGAGCCGCTTTGTTGACGTATTTTTTCACTGACGTGCTCGACAGCTTTATCGATGGCTGATTCTACCGCTTTCGAGGCAAATGTCTTCATGTGTGGTTGGGCGGTAGCAATCATGTTGTTGATGTGAGGTGCAGCCTTACTAAACAACCCCCGCGCAAATCCTATGATGCGACCCCAAAAGCTGCCACCCGTCATTGGTGCACCGCGGTAAACGGGCATTCCGTAACCGTGCTGACGATTGAATATTTGAATGTAGCGAGATTCATCGAATTTAAGTTCTTGGAGTACCATTTTTAGTGTTTTTTCAGTCGGAAGTGTAGTTTGATTATTGCAGTACCTGGATGGAAAAACACTTCATTACCTAAATCATCGCATACTTTAATTTCAACTGTTTGGAACGTATGACGGGCTATAGGTACGTAGTGAGGGCTTTCAAAACGGATGCACGTATCTTCAAACGAGCTCGCTTGCGTTGATATCGTGCGCAACAAAGGAACCATAGCATCCCCCACTAGACCGTATTCAATGATGTCACAGTAGACGTGTACAATGCGATTATGTTTCCCCGGGTGGAGGACATAAGTAGGGCTATCACTGCCCGTATAACTGTAGTCTTGCAGCAAACCTAAAGCACGGGTATACTCTGCACCGTGGAACGTCAGGGTGGTGTCTGGTCTGATACTTAGTTCAGAGGAGTTACCACTGACTACGATATGACCATATAAAACTGGTTCATCATCCGTCGCGCCATCACGCAAAAGCACATTAACAGCGTGTATTAACCGGTTTTCGTCCGGATATGCTTTTTCACTTAAAAAACGAGTCTCCCGAGTGGGATAATTAGTTCGCGCAATACCAACCACTAAGCCGCTATTAAATTTTAACTGCATAGGAGGAAGTATTAATTCTGATAACGCAACTTCCCAGGTACCGTCCAGATCCACTGCCCTGGCTAATAAAGTTGTGAAATGTCCGGGACAGTTTTTTGGATACAAATCACGAGACGCCGAAGATGGCAGTGTCAAGTAAAAACTCATTTTAATTCGTTTGCGTTTTCCCAAGAGTCATACGCGGGGCCGTAGCCATACCAACGTACCAGATATTGTTTTTTACCCTTGTGTGTGCGCTCCCTTAATATCCTAGAAATGCGATGGTATGGCCTCTCAGTCATTACAAATTTTGACAGTTCGGAAGCATAGAAGTGTCCGTCGATTGCTTCACCAGCTAGGTCTTCGATAGCATACAAAAAATGGCTTTTATGTTTTAAAACTCTGACTACTTTAAAAATTTCTTCCGTGTAATTTGTTTCGTAACCTTTTTCGAACGTGTTTTTTCTTTTGGCAATTCGCACATGGTCGCCAGCTGTAAATGCGGGCCCCTTTGATTTCTTTTGTTCGCTGAGCATACGTTCAAGGATAGAGTTGCTCTCGTTTACTCCAACGTTTTCTGGAGCATAACCGGTTGAAGAATGCACAGTGCTATTATACCCTTGCATTATCTGTGGCAAAACGTCTATGTATCGATATGTGTTTTTTTCAGTCATGTATACGTACATACGGTTTTTAATGGTACGGTTGAGTCGTTCTACCATTGCGCATTTTACATCATCATTTCGAGTAGTAAAAAAAGGTTACATTACATTCTTTAAAAAATGCACGCATTTCTCTTCCAACAAATTCTTTACCGTTATCACTTTGACAGCGCAGTGGCGGACTGCATTGTTTGTAAATTGTGCTGAGCGCTGCAGCAATTTCTGGCGGCTTTTTTGACTTCACTGGCTCCGCCCAACCATATCTGGAGAAACAATCAACACACGTCAGCACGTAATTAAAACCATCGTTTTCTTTACGAAACTTTTGCATATCCATCAAGTCAATTTGGTGTTGGTCTCCTACATTTACTGATATAATTTTTCTTCGTTTAAACTTTGAGCGGTATGCTTTATGTTGTGTATACGCGTCCTTAGACTGTAAGTATTGTTCAACTTGCTGACGTGTATAATTATGTTTTTGAGCTTCTTTAAACAGACGCTCAACTCCTCCAAGGCTACCGGGGTTCCCGGCATCCAGGTAAATTTCATCTAGTGTTACCATTTTAAGCAAAGTTTAACCACCCTCCAGTTTGTGTTGTACGCTGTTTTTTACGTGGTGGCCCGTAGAACTTTGTTGGGGCTCTAGCGATTCTCCGCCTATATGTGTTGGTTTCTTGTTCTTCATCCTTTTGGCTACTTAACTGAACATTATTTTTTGTTTTCGCAGGCTGTGGGTTGTATGTTATAGCTTTTCTATGCGCTGCTTCAATTGGCATGGTGCCGACGGGCCCGTTAGCCCCGGAACAGTTAAGGCATTTTCAACAGACAGTTGCGTAGACGTCGGCAACAGAGCAGTTTTATCGCGAGTCTTACGACGCACCGCGGTTTTAATTGGAGCCAACGCCTTACCTAAAACCTGTAAGCTGGTGGAAGGTCCTCGATGGCTAGTCGCGTACCAGCATACGGTAACGCTGAATTTTTACGTGTACTTCGTCGCAGTGAGACTTTATTTGGTTGATAATTAAGTGCCTTTGCATTTATATTTGACGGCAGTGCTGGATTTTCATGGGGTTCGTAATCCAGAACTCCGTCAGGAGGAAACTCAACAATTGGTGGTTCTTGCGGTGCATCTTGTATGCTTGGTGGTGTCGGTGCAAACTCTATAGTTGGCGCCTGGTTCTTCTTCGGCATGGTGTTACGGGAAGTTTTTGGAACACCACGCTTTTTAGTTATTGGTGGGACTTTTGGGGATTTGTATACGTGTTTGACTAAAGTTTTCGAAGGGGTTGGAACATAGTGGACAACAGGTTCGCTCGGCACGGTTGTAGGAACATAGTGCACGATTGGGTCCGCGGGCACTTGTACGTAATGCACCAACGGCTCGGACTGTACGTACTCAATTTGGGGTGACGAATTTGCTTGAATTTGCTGGTCATTTGTTGCTGTACTAACCTGGATACCACGGCTCTCAAGCAAAGGTCCGGTTTGAAAAAATGCATCTTGCATTAGCGGCTTTGCCTCAACGTATTTTGACACGGTTGCTGGCTTATGCAAAGTTCCGATGGCAAGGTATTGCTTTCTATGGTATAGTTTGGTGTCTCGCTAACCGGCAGGCGCGTAACCGGACGTTGGTTCTCCAAGGCGGCTCGCACCATTAGCTGCTGATTCATGTTATCGCTAATTTCTTGGGCCCTTTTCCAAGTAGATGTTGGACCTGACCTATTTTTGCCACTTACGAATTCTGATTCCGGTACTAACACGTAAGTCTTCATTTTGTTAGGAACGATGTTAAAAGAGTTCCCAAAACTGGTAGAAGAACTCCTAAAAATCCACCTTTTTGCTGTAAAAGCTTTTTTCTTTTTTCACGCGTTAAATTCCGATCAGCTAGTCGCTTTATTTTTCCAACATGAGCACGTGCTTTCGCTAAATGTGTTTTACTTAACCCCTTTGGTTGCTTAATAAGGTTCAAGCAGGCTTCTTCAATTGCAGCGACCTGTTTAGTAGTAGAAAATTGAAAAAACGCTCTCTGCTGTCTGGGTGTCATCAAACGTAGAGCGTCGATTAGCTTGAGAATTTCTTCTGGCTTCATTTTTCTACATAGATTCTTCGGTAGCCAAAAATATTCGATTGTAAGCGGGCCTTGTCGGGGGTTTCCCGGACGTAAGTTAATTAATAAGTATCCAAACGGTTCCTTTATAGCCTTTTATAAGCTTCTGGCAAGTGTGGCATGCCCAGCTGATGCGCTAGCGTTTTTATTTGCTGTGTGTCGCGAACAGATTTAAATACGACCATATATTGTGAGTTGAGAGAAATATCACGCATGTTCTTTCCTTGCTTGAAAAGGTTTTGTGAGATGAAAACAACAGAAACGTTTTTGTGGTGAACATCACGGGTAAATAACGCGGATGCCTTAGTAGCAGATGCTATTTCCTCCATTAAATCATCCAAAATTAGCAGCGTTGTATCACCTTTTCTGAAAAAGCTTTCGTCATTAATAATGGAATCAATGCCTTGTACAAGTTCAATAGATTCGTCAAAAGTTGAAAAGGTTTCTTGCCACGTACCGTACGCGTAAACAATACGAGTAGGGACGGGAGTGAAACTTTGTGAAACGTTTTTCAAGAGTTGCAACGTAAACGTTGATTTCCCAGACATTGTTGGTCCTGAAATGTAAATTGTGCAAGGAGTTTTAAAACGAAAATCAAAAGTGATTTTTTCCATTTCTAAAACCTCAGATAATTCGACCTTAAGCCGCTAGTTCAGCACACCTGTAAAATCCGCAAAAATTCCGAAAATTTTCCGTTGAAAAGTCTAAAATTTTACGATTACTGGGAGTTTTGGTTAATTAACTGCAGGAGGTTTTTTATCGCTTCTGCAACTGCCTGCACTTGTACAACGGATGTACATCCTAAAAGAACGCAGTTACCCGTATGAAACACGTTAACTGTGGCTCCTAAATACTTAAATTTAATCTGAACTGCTGGAAATAGTTCAGGCTCAAAAAATGCCTTACTTACTTCCGGTATTGTTCTGCTTTTATTGTATAAATTGGCAAGATTGACTTTTGTACTATGACGGTAAGTGCTTACGATATTTGCTATACTACGTACCTTAATCTCCAAAGTAAAATCATGCAGAAGTAACATCAGCTTATAAAGAGCAGCAGTTGCTCCGCTTCATCAACTGACTTACCGCCGTTTATGATGGCCTTGCCGTTCGCAAACAGTTGACAGAATGTGTTACCATTCAAGCGAAGGTTAACGGCGTTAAAGTTTTTCATCTTAGTAGCGTCGTTCCCGAAAACACGGGTTATCGCGTCCAAGTCGATCCTTCTGTCAAACCTGACGGACAAAATAACGTTGTGTATCTCCATGGCTGAACACACTAATCGCGACAGAATGAGCACGAATTCTTTATATACGTTTCTTACTCAGTCTGTCGCGAATAGAGGCATTAGCCCTTTTTTTATCCTATTTAATTTTCTTTTGCTACCTAAAAGTATCCCAGACAAAGCTGTAGATTGTCATTAGTAAAAAGACCAAAAACATAGTAAATCGAAATAGTGCATTATGTTACACAAGTCAAATGCTGTTAGCCTACGTATCCATGGACACTCCCTCAGGACCCCAGAAGCTGTCCTGTACAATGCGAGCTACATCCAAAAATCCTCGGTATGGAATCTGTAAAGAGCGCCCGGGTTGTGAAAAGCGGATCATCCGCCCATATTTAGGATGGATACTGAGAAGTACATCCATACAAGCAGGTCCGGCAAGAGTGACCTTTTCCGCAGATTTGCTTGTGATTGCCTTGTCCATCGCTGCTTGGATAGTTCCCGCTTTCAACTTATTCAGGACGTCCGAAATTTCACTACATCCCAGACGCACTCCTTTCCGGAACGCCTCTTCATGATCTTTGTAACCGTCTGTTTCCTGATCAAAAGCTAGAACAAGACTGACCTTTTTCGTGTTCCAAAACATACTTACCACATTGTTGACCTTATAGATGATGTATCCGTTCAGCTCTCCCAAAATCTCCAAAGTGCGTGCAAAATCCATTTTTGATTGCAAAAGCGACTAACAAGTAGCAAACAATTTTTCTTACGGAACTGAAAAGCAACTGACAATTCAAGGTTTACCCGCTAGCCTTTTATATCCTCACGACTACAGCGACTGCAAAGTGTTGGATTTTGATTCGCATAAAATCCCTCCAAAACTCCGCCTTTTTATGGAAAGCAATGGTTTCCATTCGTCAAACTTTTCCCAACACAAGACTGTAGCGATTGGCTGAAAAATCGATAATTTTGCTCCGCCTTTTTTCCCCTGCAAGCCTTGTTAGAAGGTGTAAAAGGCGGAGACTTGGGAAGCTTCGTCCTTATTGGTATTATATATAAACTACGATGGTCAAGCAAAATTTAGATTTCGGTTTTAGAAACAGGCTTTTATTGATTCAGTTTTTTTGTCATTAAACAGCAAAAATGGACATGCGTAATGTGATCCATCGTCTGGCTACGTTTAAACACACCAATTGGGACAATAGTTTACTTCCACCGACGTACTTGGCCTTAGCCGGAATGTTTTATCGTGGAACCGGGGATGAAGTTCAGTGCGCATATTGTGACGGTATTATGTCCGGATGGGGTAAAATCCGAAGCCCAAGGCGGCATCATCAATTACTGTTTCCAAACTGTCCAATGTCAAAGAGAACACCTGAACCCATTACTGCGGAAGGAGAAGACGTCGTGGAGGTGTGGGCGTCAGCACCAGTTGCTATTCCGGGGACCTATAGCTACGCTGTGCGCTTTCCAGACATGATGGATTACAAGGCTCGTTTTTCTACATTTGCCGAGTGGCCTGAATCAAAAGCTCAGCATCCCAGGGTCATGGCCCAAGCCGGTTGGTTTTATAACGGGAACGGTGATTGCGTCCAGTGCTTTCACTGCGGTCGAGAGCTTGAAAGATGGGTTCCCACCGATGGAGCATGGGAAGAGCACGCCAGAGCGTCGCCCATATGTCCATTTGTCATAGCACAAAAAGGAGAACAGTATGTCCACGACGTTCAGACCAAGCAAGCAAAGGAATCAGCGCAGATCTGTGACAAGGTATCTCAAGCGTATGCGGCTAGGAAAAGAGAAAATAACCCCCTGGAGAAAGTGCAATGTAAGGTCTGCTTAGACAATGAAGTCCAAGTTGTATTCCGCCCATGTAATCATCTGGCCTGCTGCAATAACTGTTCAGATAGATTGATACAGTGTCCTGTTTGCAGAACTGTGGTGATTCAAAATCCGAGTTTTTTTGTGTTAGTGTAAAGTTTCACCTATTATTCGTGAAAAAACAAAAAACCAAAAAATCACAAATCGTCAAAAATACCGATTGCAGTATTGCAGTGCTACGGCTACTTTTGGAAAATGATAAACAACTGTTTCACTTGTTACTTTAAAGCTTAACAAAAAAACAAAAAAAGTGATAAACTCAAAAAAATGATGCATGTTATGTTGGCAAAAACAAAAAAGGGAAGAAAAAGGGAGGGGAAAATTTAATCAAAGAAAGGGGTGAAATGGGTGGGGAAAATTTAAACAAACAAATGGGGTACACCGGGTTGGACGATGTATCGTAAATCAATAACATAAGGTGGTGTTGTGACGCCGAATTGTTTGTGTTAAATGCACGTCGTATGCAGTATGTTTGTAAACAAGATGTTTATTGTTTGTTTGGCCATCAGTTGTTTGTTTGGTGACCATTTCAACGCTTCTTTTCTTCTCACCAGTTACCTTCGCAGACAGTCTGTTCGACCGTGGTGTTCTTAAAAAAAAGACACGCCATCTGAACCAACGATGAGATTGCCAGAATGCGGCGGTGGGATTAGACGGGCAGGCCAACGCGACCGGCATGAAGATTACATGACGATTACAAAATCCTTCGTCTTGATCGCCCCGGTTCTCCGGGCTGAATCGAGAGGACGACGACGGACTGGCGGATAACATATTATCAAGACGGCTTCCTGGTACTTGTCTGGATCACAGGAGGACAGCCAGCATATCATCATCAAAAAGGAGCGCACCGCAATTTTCTTCGGACTTCCGCAAATCTGCCGATCACGGTCTCCGAGTTTCTCAGATGGACGACGAACCAGATCATTTGGGTCATGGCCCGGATCCAGGAACCTCCTTGTCATGGCCCGCAATCCCAACGGGTTTATCGCGTTTCATGTTAAAACCGTGGCTTTGCGCTGGGCTTCTATGTTGACCCAGACGAGCGGCCCGAGTGTCACGTCGACCTCCGGATCCACCCACTTTTTTCCGCTGCTTGGCTGGCACAGACATATTGTCTGGAAGGCTACAGCAGACACTTGCAGCCATATGCGTGTAATAATTGTTTTTATTTTTTAACCAAGAATGGCCTGATTTCAGTCATTAATACTATGTCGAGGTTCCATGTTTTATTATCAGTAATATAAACAGTCTGACCTCCTGAAACTGAGCGTTGCAGATTTTTGACTGTTAGAAGGTTTGATGAAATAGAGAGCGCAAGCCTTAGAACATTCCCTAAAAACATTCAACGACACTTTCAACAACAATATGTATAAAAATGTTTTGATAAATTGTCTCCAAGCAGAATAGTAATCATGTAATGACCATGTGATTTGTAGCAACCTCCAACTCGGTCTTAAGGTGACCTTTAAAAACATTATATAGTTTACTTTTGATTGGCAGTTCAAAATTTTGTTGAAGCTCCCGCGAGAAATCTTTGAGCAGAAAAAGTTTTCCAATTCCTGCCTTCGGAAACAGTATACGAATTCCATAATATTATAATGGTAATAACCTTGTATTTTACAAAAAATCTACGCTTCATTTGCTTAAATGGTTTAAAACTGGGAGCTAAATGGAAAATTCAAGATAATTTATTTAAAACATATTACACAGAATCATGTAGAAGAGAAGAAGCCCATCGCAGTTGAGAAAAACACTGCGACAGAGCAAGCTGCGGAAGGCACGGATACCGCGGCGGCGGTAGTGATGTTGGCCAGGGCTCCATTGTCCAAGTCGGTCTTGCAGCGGGCCGACTTGTTTCTCACACTAGACGGGAAGGTGCAGCAATATTCAAAGCAGCTCATTGATCTGCTGGTAAAGAGTATATTTAAGTTTGTATTTACCTTGCTTACCGTATTACTTTTTTTCCGCATGACAGGATCAACAAGACAAGTGCAGGAAGGAGATCTTGCAGCACACACAAGCGGCTCTGTCCCTTTACCGCGGCGAAGTGCAGAAGTCCTTGCCGAAAAGCGTTCGTTTGATCGCTGCTAATTACATCCCTCGCCATCTTGATGTGGCTGACCTGGAGCGCGATCGAAAGATTCGTGACACGGTGTGGGAGCTTCGGACAACTATTGTTGCTGCAAGGTCCCAGGACGCATATAGGAAACTGGCTCGTCTGAAGGAGGAGGAAACGAGCTTGCTAAAAATTGTTACGCAAACCTTCGGCCAGTGGCGTGCTGAGCATTTCCAGAAACTCTGTGTGCGCCGCTACGTTGAGCACAAGCATAACAAAACAGCATTACCGTACCTGACGATTTTGACTGTCAAGAACGTTTAATTGTGACTTTTCTGGATATGTAGCAACTGACAACAATGATATGATAGTACTGTTATTCGACTACCGGTATATGATTGCGTATTCGCTCGTTATTCTTGCTGTTTCTGTTTCACATGATTTTACCAAAAATCTTTATTAACTTTTTTTTAATGCTCTGTTTTCTTTGTGCGTAGATAAAGTCCTTTTGAGAGATTCCAGAAGTGATTACAGAATTTAGGCAGTTGAACTTACCCTTCGGATCAGAAAATGCTATTGTAAGGTCAGTAAAGTAAATGCCAAGACGATCATTTCAACTATGCAAGCAACGTGCATCTGCATCAATATACAGCTCTGTATAACCATCCTAACCTGCGACATACGTATTAACGTTCTACGCGTTTGATACGGCATCCCGATCTCCATCAGGCGGCACACCATCCGCTCTTTCTTCCGCTGCTCTTACAATTTCTCCTGCCATGCATTTGTCCGCGCTTTTTCCTCCCACAAATTATGCTTCACCATACATGTAATTTGCGTGTCGTTGACAAGATAAACAACTCACGGCAGGTTGCAACAGCAGCGGTCCAAATGACACGCATGAAGCAGCAGACAGCCCACAATGCACGACTGTAGCCGTCAGAAAGGTGGACGGGTGGATGTTCAATGAAATCCACATTCTGTCGAAGGTCGGCAGATTGGATGAGGCTGATGAGCCATCCACCTTTCTGACGAACTAACCCGTCCGTGTCGAATGATGTGACAATGACGCATACCGGCACAGAATACCCAGCCCCTGTTCAAAATGTGTTAAGCGATCCTTCCGCGCTTCTAATAATTTACGGATCGGCCGTTAACGCGCAGTTCACTTTATCCAATGGCGATTCTCACGAGGTTCTCCGCGGTTTACTCGTCGCCGCACACAACCGTTCCATATCGCTTCGGTCTGTCGCAGCGCCGCCTGTGCGCGGTAGAAATCAGCGTCCAACATCGCGTTTTTGCCTTGAACTGCATGTGCTCTTGGTACCACTGCGATTCAGTGTTAAATATCTGGTTCTCGTATAAGTCCACCGTGAGCCGCGAGGTTCAAGCATCGTTTTGCTGCTTCGTACAGATACGATTCATGCTCGGCGCAGAGTTCCCGGTTCGGTTGCTGTTTGACACACGTCGCTTTTTGGCACACCTTCTCCATGGCGGCCGGATTGCACTTGTTCTGCATATTCTTCTTGCAGATCAAATTCTCCAAACGTTAATTCGAGTTCTTCGCGCGTTTCCCTAGTTCTTTCTTGGCTTGTTATGGACACTGTATGTTTAAAATAAGTCAGACGGTCCTTCCGTCCATCCTTAAATAATTTCCGGTTTGACAGTTAAGCGACCACTAATGCACAATTCACTTTGTCCAATGGCGACTCGCAGAGGTTCGGTGACTTATCAAGGGTGACATGTCTCCGCACAGAAGCATTCCACCCACTATTCGGTCTGCCGCCGGGGGGAGCGCCGCCTGAGTGCAGTAGGCATCTAAGTCCAGCACGGCGTTCTCGCCTTTGCGTTGCGTGTGTTTCAGGCACCACTGTGACTGTTCTAGAATGGATCCACCGTGCGGCTTAAGCGGCGTTTCGCTGTTTCGTACGATTCCAGCTAGGCGCAGAGTTCCCGGTTAAGTTGATATTTGATATAGACCGCTTTCTGGCCGATCAGCTCCATTACTGCCTGCACCCATTCTGCAGTGCCTTTTTCTTTCATGACAGTTCGCCGGACGATATTTCAAGTTCTTCACGCGTATCTCCAGTTCTTTCTTTGTTTGGTAAAGACACTGTCCGGCTTTGGTTGAATGCTAACGTTCGTTTTGAATTCTTGCTTTTTGTTGCTCTGTTACAGTAACTCTATACGCCGCAACACGTAGAGAACCAACTCTGTCAGGTCAGAGTTAATGTGAATATGAACTTTGTTGTACTTTTACACAGGGTCGAGGCTGGGTGTGGTGACCTTTAGGGAACCGCCCGGGTCCGCCCCTCTTTCCATGCAGGAAATTTCCATAATTTTCACTTGAGAACATTTCAGATCTTCCATCTCCTTCTTTATAAGATCTTAAATCGCCACAGCCGACGGATTTAAACGATGCTTCCAAGACCAGCTGACAATTTACCGCAAAAGCTACGATGATTAACGATGATTAACTACGCTCCTACTCTCCTTGAGTGACTCTTAAGCATCCCCTCTTTTTCTTGTCTGTTCGTTTGTCACGGTGGCATAGTTTATTCTGGGTGAACTCATCTGTCGGCAGCAGCACTGAATCGGCACCTTTCGGTTTCTCGCCTTTGACCGTTTCCACTGCCTTTTTTTCGGACGCACATTCCTCCTCAGACATCCACCCGTCGCGTGTGTTTTACGGATAATTGTTAAGAAACACCGGCATCGCATTCTTCAGTTCGCGGTTACGAGGTTCACGGGTGCATTTAAGCCATCAACCTGAGACATTCGGATAATGGAAACTTTTCGTGGCGATCGCGTCGGATTCCTCTATTGTGTCCGTCGTTGCTTCGATAGAAATTATTTTATGGTGGTTCTTCCAGGATTTCCCGAGCGGGATAACACAGAAGGTACACGTTGGCATTTCCGATCATCCAATGCGTCCGATTTATGGTCGAACTTGCTCTTTTTCTCAGATTTCGGTTTTCCGATTTGTCGGTTGCCAGTTGATGGGGATGTCTGCACATCCATCCCGGATATTGGTCCTTGCTTTTTCCTTTGCGCTTGGTTATCTTATTTTTTCTTTTCGGGAACGATTCATTTCGCCTTTGGCTTTTTGTGCTCGTCTTCCTAGATTTCGTAGGTAGGTAGGTAGGTTTCGTTGGTAGGTAGGTTTTTCACCTCGTTCGCTTGCACTGGTTCCTGGTTCGACTGGTAGTTTCCGGTAGTTTCAGTTCTCCGGTAGTTTTTTCAGCTTCTTCCAGTTTTTCTATTTTGACTTAAACCGTCTTCTAGGTCTCCACGAGATTTCCAGTTTGCAGGCATTCGTCAATCTGAGTGGGCTCTTTCGCCAAGTTCGCAGTTTTCCCGATAGCGTCGGTTCCTGGCCGCCAGCGAGGATCGGTCAAACAGGCATTGATCTGATTAACTGGACAACCGCATTCCATCTGAACTGTTTTTGCATCGTTCACCCTGCTTTAATGGACAACCACGTTCGCATACTGGTTCTTTTCAACGGACAAGCGCGATCCATTTGCATTTTCTTGCTGCACTCATTCACTGGTCTCCTGTAGCACGGCGTCGAACGGGTTCATCTACGCACACGGGTTTAACAGGCTTAAGGACATCCAAACCTGGAGAGCGTTCTTCCCTTTCGAGTTCATCGCTGATCGGTGTCAGAAATTGTCGAGAACTGGACACGCTGCGGTCATGCACAAAGCCTGCTGGTGTCTGGAAGGGTCAGCGTTGGACAGTTCGCATGTTCGGCAGGTGACGGAACGCTTAGCGCGGGTGACGCGATCAGAATTCCTATCGGTTGTGATAAATTGCTCGGTGACGACTGTGGAATAATACGGAGCGGATCTCAAAGGAAGTGTGCCACTTCCTTTAATGTTGTGACTAGCAATGCGATTATACGGGTAAGGAAAGTCGCTGGCGCCCACAACATCCGGTTCAAGAGTTCTAGCTGTAAGAAAGTTCCAAAAAGGTTAAACTCACCATATTGTACCAAGATTCTCATTATGCACCGATCTTTTTTAAAGATCGGTGCATAATCTTTTTCCAACAGAGGGCATAATTATGCACCATTACTTATGTGCATTAATGCACATAAGCATGGCGATCGTTTCTGCAGCGAAGCAGAGTTACACCGTTACTTTATCAAATTAAAGTGATCTTAAAATCTCTAAAATTTCTAAATTCGAACAAAAGGTGGCTTGGTGTAGAAACAATCTTCATAGTTCATACTAATACGTATATTACATAGTTTTGTTGAAAACTGAATGATCGGAAAATAATGAAGCTTGGTACACCTGAATGCGTTTAAGCGTTTAGGTCTTTTTTTGCTGCAATAATTCACCAACCGGATCTGCGCCCACAAACGGTTTTCACGCCAACGTGTAGAAATAATCTGGCTAGAACGCAAAAAACAACGCAAAAAAAAGTTTTTGAGTGCGCGAAAATAAAAGATTCGTCCATATTCACGAACTGGTACATGTAGTACATGGTATGGTAGCTTCCCTTAAAAATTGGGATGAAGCACAAGTAGGGGAAATACTCAAAATACGAGAAATGATTCCACAATAACTCCCGCGTGGCCAACAAACGCGCTTGTATAATTTTATCAATAATCCGCACTGTTTTAAATACGTAATTACAGCGAGGAATTCCGATATTTCTTGGTGACTAGTCAGCAGTAAAAATCAAAAAATGTTTCTAATTAAGTTGTCGGTCACCATTAATTCTTACTGCGTACGAAGCTTTGACACATTTTGCAGTAGCAGATAATTATTATGTATGCGTAGCAGTAGCAGATAAATATTATGTATTATTATGTATTACAAGGTAGCCTCGCGCATCCGCGCTCGGCACTTAAGTTCTTGATGGTATTGGCTTTATTTTGGTATTGAGATTAACAATAAAGGATTGGTCAGCACATGTGCTAGTAGAGAACAGGATAGTTCAAAATGTACGTAGGTTACGTTGTCAAAATATACTTATATTATTATATTAATTAATTAGCAGATAATTATTATACAAATTCTTCATTTGATCTTATTTGTTGAGCGAAGCTCGCCTTGTACATATTGAGAAATAAAATTATATTATTATGTGAATTGCTTGCAGTACTTGCGAGAACCTTGCGTTCCATCAGTCGATAACTTGCTTCATGCGACAAATTAATTACGGAACTTAGCAACTATTCACATACATTTTAATATACATAATATTATTTTCAGCCTGCCAAAAAATGATGTAATACGCTGCTTTCCAACAGAGGGCATAATAATTTATGGTACGTACTTGTATACGTTTATCAACAATCACTTGCTCTGCACTCCGCTACTAGCAGCTAGTTGAAAACTCAAAATACTACTAGTACTGTGCGAGTATCGGTAGTTGTTTTCCTTTAATCTCCGGCGTTCGCTATTCCCATTTTATGCACCACTGAAATCCGTCGGAGCAGGGAAATAAGCGCCTATACTTTTCGTCGCAGTTACACCCCCTGAACCGCTGCCTTTTCACCATTCGACTTCATGATCGGGCCACGCGGTCTTTCGCTCGATAGGGCGGCAAGCAATTTCGCTGGGGCGTTTGCTTAAAGCTCGTCACGTCCAGAAGTGGCATTCTGATTTCACACTTAAAACTGTGCGTAACTTATTTTTGTCTGTTTCAAACGAACCCAGAGTCAGCTTACGACAAAGTAAGCGATGGCGACTATTTTCAGAGCTAATTTAACCGAGGCGCTATCTGATGTGCGAGGCCGATCACCGATTGGATCACTCTTGAATACGTGGAAATATAATTACAGTATACGGGATTATTTATTGTCAATCGAATTCGATGACTTGCGTAACAAATACAGAGCAAAAATTAGAATTAGGTAAAAAAGCAACGTGTAAAATTAAGGCTACGTTAACAGTTTTTTGATTTTGCATAACTTCTGTTGCAGTCGGTTCAACAGCAATCGGCGCATCATTATTTTGAGCTGGCGATACAACTATGGTGTTTTTTCTTTAGGCTGGATTAACAAGTGTCGGCGTCTCCGATTTCGGTTCCATCTTTACCCGCATATCTCCACATCAACCGCTTGGATATTTTGTTTCATGAATGAATGATTTTCGCATTGCCCCAATATCCGCAACCTCCAGGATACGGAAGTCTTCAGGACTTCTTGAGTTGCGCACCGCACCGCCGATCTTCTTGTGCTGTTGCTCCATTTCCGGGACGTTCGAGCCCGACAATTTTGATGGCAGCATTCCAGGTTGTAATGTCACGGATTCCTAATTAACAGGCGGGAGTACTGGTTAATGAATCTGTACGATGGATCGCTTGCTCGTGTCGAGATAGCCAGGAACAAACATCGGTGGATGTGAACGACGAAACTACAGAATCATTTAATGCTTAATAACCGCCGAACCGGTATCGTTTACAAAGAAAACGTTCATAATGAACGCATATTTTCGCAGACTCACTCAGGCAGTTTTCGGATACTGTTTCGGCAGGTTGTTTTTTTCTTGATCTCGTCGGCCTTCAATGTACGGTATCTGGGTGGATTGCGGTCCTCTCTAATCAGACAAAATCAAAATAAAAACGAAGTTTCGAAAATATGAAACTTATTTGAATTTTTGAATAGAATGATTGCGTAAAAACAAATTCATTCAAAATTAATAATTTGATGTAGAATTTATCATTTTATGTAAAATCTATCAAACTATAAAATAAAGCAATATTATCTCGCGCATCGGTCGCTCTTGGATTGCCGCTGCCGATGACCCTCCCGTAAGCGGCCGCGCTACCTGGTGATCGCAGTGTGGAAATTTGGTGCCGCCGTAATGACCGGCCGCTTGTTCGTACACAAGACATTCGTGGTCGCGACTCGCGCATATGTCTCTGCAGCTGTTTAATATAACCACCGCCAAATTGCGGAATTTTACCTCGCTCCGCTTCTGCGCGTCACTGCAGTCGCCGGACTGAATGGCGCGGTACTTCATCATCTGGCTGGATGGAGTCGGTGATGTCGGCGCGCGGACAGCTGGACGTTCGACTAAATTCATCGGTTTAGCCTTACAAAGCAAAAATGTAACAGGCGTGTTCCTGCTCAGGTGCACATTTACTGGATTTGTCGCACGATACGCCGAATGGCCTGCAACAAGAAAAAGTTACCGTAAAATTTTCCACAAATATTTTCGCGGTATTTATTCTGCTGTCCTTTAGTAAAATAAATTTGACAAGAGTTTGGTTTGCAAGCCTTCTGATCTATTTTAAAAATAAATACTAATATGCTGCAGTCAAAAGTACTTAATTATCGTTAATTTTTAATCGCATAATTTTTTTGTCAGTTCTTATTCTAATTTTTTTACGCTTTAATGTCCTTTATTTACGCTTCAATGTCAGCCGCATTGTAAACTAACCTATTTTACCCAAGCTTTCTCTTGCTCTGCACAAAGATACAATTTGTAATGCAGAAAATGAATGTTGTACAATTATTACACAAATTTTGTACAGTTTGGCATGGTTGTAAAATCTGTACATGTACCGTTTCGCTCCAGCGAAAAGGAATGGTTGTAAATTTGTAATTATAACCTGATTACCCAGCGATTTTATCGTGTGAGCGTTGCCTACTCTAGATCATTTCAGTCCGAAATTCGAAACGGGGTTATCTTTTCTTAGTTTTTACACAAGCACTAGTGGTCTTTATGATTTATTATTTATCTGATTATTTATTATTTATTTATTATTTATCTAGCCAATAAAATTACCGAAGGTTTCTTACCGAATGAGCGTACAAATCGAGGCAAAACGTTTCAATCGTCACACTGCACAACATAATACAATTTTGTGCTGTGTGATGAATTCGAAATAGGTATACTGCATTGAATTCCTGCTATATCTTTCTCGTTATTTGCATCACAGCTTTTGTGGCTTTTGCGGGATAGTTTGCAGGAATACAGCAATTTTGTTTAGAGCGTAAGGGAGAAACCGGGCAAAGCGGAACTAGGTGGACGGACACCAGTTCCAGCTTTTAAAGCAGACAAACCGGAACATCGGGCTAGTGGATGAACGCGTGAATCGGCGTTATTCAGTTCCAAGGTGTGCTGTCATGTGCATTCCGCTCATAACCGAACATTACAAGAACGCAGCTCGCTCAACAGCTGCTGCAACTCCGCGAATTTCCCCGGCGGCAAAGATCCGTCCACGGTCTACCGACATCAGATTAGAGTCCGGCGACATCTTGCACAACCTTAACAGCGCCCCATACATATTGTACTCACATGCAATCTGACAGCACCGCACCAAGCCACCAGTCTCCAGATGCCGCACACAGTCCACGCTCTCCGTGATAACAGCCGGCAAACGAGCACGTAACCCAGCTTAAGGACTTGGGTCCCGTTCCCGTGGATCAGGCCGCCTTGTGCAGAAACCCTGGGTTTCAGGATATCACACTTTATCACCGCCGTGGTGGTAAACGGATTTAATCCGTATTCAAAGGTGACGTGTCCATGGCGTCAATGGTCTCCCGGAGAGTCAGGGAGACCACACGCATGTGACCTTTAAGCGCGGTGCACGGTCTCCATCAGCGGTTAGGAAAAAGAGATCACTGAGAATTCCAGGATCAGGCAGATTGATGGGAAACTACACAAGGGTCTCTTACGCTGCTGACGGCGGCTAACTGCTCATCATTCGGAAGGCTCTGCTGTCCGGATAGTCGGAGGCCGGCGGATTCGTCGGGGCAGTGTACAAGATATAGTTGGCATTCCATGGTGCGTTCTTTGGCTTTCTTCAGCCGCAGACCGCCCAAAACCAGGGCGCACGTCCAACGGGTATGTAGCGGCGCATGTTCAAAAAAGCTAATTTGTACAAGCGCCATTTGAAAGTGGCGCTAGCGTCCACAATGTCCACGCTAGCGTTTAAACGGCACCACCAGGATTCTGAAAACCTAGTCCCGCGCGCTTGAATACCAACTCTTCAACGCTGATGAGGACAACGTTTCAGTCTACCTCGCCGAAAGGGATATTGCCATGCTTTCCCTGGACATAAGCCACAATGAATCTTGCTCTATGGAGAAATGCTTTACCGCCATGGGACAAAAGCTCGGCCCCAGAATCATTTCTTCTTACCACACCCGGGAAGAAACGCCGGAAGCGGCAAAACCAGAAGTGGAATACGGCCGGGATGCTGCCAAAATAGCCCAGCCAACCGCCTTCCACTAGAAAGTCGCGCAGTCCGCTTATCAGCAGCGCTACATTTGGTAGAAATTTAAGCTAGCGGATGTGGCTAGTTCCTTTATAAACCAGCGGAGAAGAAACTGAAAATAGGGAAATATCTCATGACCTATGTGTTGCCAGTGTTTGTGAATGGGATTAACGCGTGACAAGAAAATCGACTGGCCGATCCATTGGTATCCTCCCATTTCGCCAACCCGACATTTCGCCAACTGAAATGTTTTTCTTTTCTTAGGTTTTCTTAGGCTTCTTAGATTTCTTAGTCTTCTTAGGGTTCTTAGGCTTTCTTAGGCTTCTGAAATTCCTTAGGTTTCTTAGGTTTTTTTCTCGTGTATAATTTCGATTTTAATTGTTTTTGATAATTTCGCTTCGAACTGCTGTGTTATAATTTAGATTCGAACTGCTGACATAGCGAAAAGCAGCCGTAGACCGCCCTGGTTTTGGGCGGTCTACGGCTGAAGAAAGCCAAAGAACGCACCATGGAATGCCAACTATATCTTGTACACTGCCCCGACGAATCCGCCGGTCTCCGACTCCCCGCCGGACAGCAGATCCTCCCGATCGATGAGCAGTTTGCCGCCGCCAGCAGCATCCCCGTGAAGCTGACTATCAGGGTGACGCAGTTCGCCGCATTTGGATGTTTTCCCAGTAATAGCACGGCTCCGCTCCCTGTTCACTGGGAAATGCGCGAACACGGGAATTCTGCAGTTGGTTATCAGCCTGGCCATCGACGGATCAGGTGTTCTTGTCCACGTTGAACTGGAACTACGGCCCCTGTGTGGTCGGCACCCTATCATATGGGAAATGAATGGACACGGATCCTTTAAGCAGAAGGGGACTTTTCTTAACTATTCCGAAAAGAAATTTATAACGGTTCTTTTTACTCGTTTTTCTCAATCAGGAATGTTGCAAACATCAGAAAACGAAGACATCAAAAAAAACTTTTTGAAATTTCCAGATGATACCAAATTAAGCCAAAGGTTCAACCTGACAAAGTTCCGAGCCTTGCTAAAACTCAGACGACTCACTGCTTTCGTGATGTGACTTCAAATTTAATTTTCGGCAGCACGATCACTTTCGACTTCCTGTGCAATTTGCTTTGGAGCAAATCGCACCAAGGTAAATAAATTAATTTATATATAATAAATTTATTAATATAAATTATATACGTTATGAAAATGATTGCTATATAAATATTATATAAATTAATTTTTATAATAATTATTATTTATGCACCGTACATTCATTGTCGCATTCGTAATTCACAGGTCGCAAAAGCACTAGCCTGCTAGCACTAACTTTTTAGTGACCATGGCCCAGCGCGGTCCGCCGCGCCGCTTAAAACACGCTGCATTTGTTGATGACGAAGTTTTCGGATCGCTACTCGCACACTGGAACCGGTTGACTCCGAACTCGTTGTACCCAGAGGGACGCGGGACGTACTGACAAGAACCGCGCTCGGGGTCGACCTTAACTGATATCATCGAGTCGTACGATCATTGCGGTAAAATGACAACCAGCTGGCCGTTTGAACGCATCATTGGCGTACCTCATAAAAAGTTTTTGAACCGGTAAATGAAATTCATCGAAGGAAACATGAAAAAATTAATTATTGCCCCAAAACTTGAGAAAAACAATGGAATATAGTAGCGAATATAACAGAATCTTCCAGGATTCCCTTGCTACAACGCAAAGCACCCATAAATGCACCGTAACAATTAATAACCTCGTGAAGCTGATACATGACATTTTCTTCACTTCCTCAGCGTGCCGTCTGACTTTAACTAATTCCCGTTTAAGCTCTGTCGATCTCCTCAAAAAGTGGCACTACAGTATTCCCCGTATTTTCTTCTCAGCGTCGCAAAACAGCCCAGGTTTCTCTCGGCCTCGGCGGATTTCTCCCGTAACGATGCTTGCAGTTTCTCTTGGGTACTGTGCGAGTTTGAAAGGAGCCGATTCAACCCAACAATTTTTTTGTCACAAACTGACCTTTGCGTAATATTATATCCTGCTTACTCCTGTTCCAGTTGTGTTTCCTCCTGCTCTAGATGTTTCATCTTCTTCTCGATAAACGCTAGTTCTTCTATCAACGTTCGCGATTGCGATTCAGCATCTCTGCAAACAGTACAAGCTCCGTGTGAAGTATCGTCTGGCTGGCTGCTCACATCTTCTCCAGACTGTTATTCAGCGGGGCTAAAAACTATGTATGGTCATTCTCTGTTCACACGTAGCGTAACAAACTTACATATTGACGCAAATGCTAAGGTGAACGGGTGTACCGACCTGATTTTAACGACGAGCTGACGAGCTGTGTGTATGCTTGTTCAATCTGATGCTTGTCTGTCTGGATACTGCATTTCCGCAGATTGTCTGCCAGCGACGAGCTTCCATCGCCCGGAGAATAGCAAGGGCGGGCTGGTGTCTGTCGACTGTCGAGGAAAGGGAAAGGTCGTTGTGGATTCTTTCAATCTATAGATGTATGGATATACTACATGAATTTGCTGTCATGGCGCCAATTTGCTCAGCTTCTACACATCACGAAAATCGCGCTCCACGAAATCATTCAATCTACAAATCCACAACCACAGAAACTTATTCCAGATTTATGAACCCCTGAAATTCTTCTCCAAATCCTGGTTCAAGCATTCGTACGACTGTCGACTACTTTGAAGTTCCACAATTATTTTACCAAATTTTGTATACGCACCGTAACGGTACGTATCTAAAAACCAGGAGAAGAATTTTTTTGCATGTTGAAATTACGCTGCTCGAAACCATTAATCGATAACTTGAAAAGAAAACATACTGAAGACAAAAAATATTTAAAAAATTTGCTTAAATTCAAATTTTGAGAGCTTGTAAGATGGTCCGCGAATTTTAATAAAATCGACACGGCAATGTTTAGACAAAAGTCATCAAGTAGCTGTATTGAATTGCAGTTTCATTTTGCTGCGGTTAAGTTTGAAATTAGAAGACGGTTTGCAGTTATAAAATGTAATTACGTATTACGGTAAGTCGTTAGATAAACAAAAGATGTTGCAGACCCGCGAAACAATTTTTGATCCCAGTACGTTTGATCGATCGCATGAATATCTGCACCATGATCGCCACAAAGCGCACTGCTGCAGTGGACAATGGACATCTCGCAGTAACGACTACCCTAGCGTCCTGCAGAACAGAAAACTGGCGCTACAGTGTTTCGGTTAGCGTCTTAACCAGGAAGTACTGTGTTCCGTCACATTCGTATTTGCTTAACGCTTCAAAATTTCTCCTAAGTTTGGCCATGCTAGAGAGAGAAGCAATCTGCCGGGATTGCACTGGAAATGCCACCAAGTATTGCTACGCTTTCCGTGTAGAATAATGCGATCTGTGATGCAGAATTACGATTCCCGATGCCGTTGGTGTTGCTAAGCGCCGGCAGATGGAATCCCCGCAGCGTCGACCAGATTGGATCGAATGCAGCACTTACCATATTAAGCTATTAAGCGCAGAAAATGGTTTTAATTCGAATGGTGTAATTTTTAAATTTTCGTAAAGAACGAAATACCAACCGTTTTTAGTTTATGGTCTATTTGCCATGTATAATTGGTTTGGGAAGGCATTGCGCTTTCTTACCGTTTTTGGCTCTGATGAGGTTTTGCGCTACGGATTCTACCGTGCTATCGTGCCAGTGGCAGCACGCGATCGTAGACAGCGCGGGCGTGACCCGTCTGCCGAGATTCTCATGAGTGTCCGACCGGTGCTTCCGCATTATTCAATAAGTGCATGCTAAAGACTACTTACTGTAGGCCCTTAGGGCCTACAGTAGTCTTTACAGTGTAGGGCTTTCGTTGCAGTATACAAAGTACATACGTGCGTACACTAATTTTAATCTGCATTTTGCACATCGAAAATATAAAGCTCCCGCCCATGTTTAACATTCGCCATACTAAAACCGTCTCCGTTTTCTTATTACGTTTACTGTACTTCGCGTTATTGTTCACAAAACCCGAAGAAAATCGGAAAAAAACGGGACATCTGCCAATAGAGAAGTGACAGATAGCCGCATTATTTAAAGTTGGGACACTGGTATCTCTGGTTGCATGTTGTAGTTCTCCGATGACACAGTTAAAGCGGACTGGAACCAACGAGCGCGAAAGTGCGCGGTTTCAAATAGCCACTTGAATGCCCGTTTGGTTGGTGCAGAGTTCTGTCCACCCAGTAGAACGTTGCCACCACAAAGCATTTTTTCAACTTGCTGATCCAGTCGGCTCGAGATCAAGACGAGCGCACTTTAAATCTAGTTGCCTGTGTGGTAGTTTGCATATTACGTACTCGTATTTTATCTTTTTATTCTGTATTGTGTACCGGCTGGAAAAAATGGCCGACAATAGCACCTTTTACACCGCCCATATGGAAGACGATGCGTTGCGGGATGCAGGGGTTGAATCAGCACTCGAACGCCGGGGCTGAACATGCATAGGGAAGAATTCTCTCACTATGTTCCGTGTTGCGACTGTCTCGGTCGTCACCCTCGAAGCCATGTCACCTTCGTCCGCGCGAAAAACTCTGGAGGATGTCCTCCGACCTGATGGTCAGTTTGATGTGACGATGCGATACTCAAATATTACTTTTGAGTGTATTCGTTACAGCTATATATAGAACCGTAATCACAGGAGAGACTGGAGCCCGCAACTTCGGCCAAACCAGACTTCTTTAAAACTCGGCTATTCTGTTTGCTTTGTGGTAAACATCTTTGGCGTGGATAATGCTGGTTGGCTGAAGTTTGAGAACCTTCCCGGTAAAAACGACAAACACGGACAACGTAACAGGTTCATCAAGCGGATGCATTTGTATGAAATGGTACTGGCGGATATTAAATAAAGGTCACTCTTTCGGACTACGCAGAGTACATGAATAACGAGAAACGGCTTATTATGCACGACTATCCCGGGGTCAAAGTAAAGGATGATCGTCCAGCTATTTCCCTGTTCTGTTCGTGAAAAAACCACTGACCAGAGAATTTTACACGACAGTGTCAACTGGTGCGAATACTTGCAAAATCTATTATCAAAAACCGGAAAATCGTATCATGTAATGCGAATCCGGACAGCGGGTAAATGACTGGCAACTGTTACTATTGCTATACTCTTGGTCTGCCATGCTGGCAGCGCTTGCAACCAGAAGGGTCCAAAGTATGTACACATTTGACACTGATTCTTGCACACGAGCAACACACGACACGACACGCGACTCGTGTGTCGTGTCGTGTTGGCGGATAGTACACGAATAACGAATAGTACACGTGTCGGCGAAGAGTACAGGACTTGCGACGCTAGAAACATTGTGACTAATCTGCATGCCTATTCCAAGCTCTTCCGCTACAAACGTAGCGGTCATCTGGATTGTCGCTGCGCGTACGTCGTCAACAGCAGTGAGAAAAACGCTATCCCAAATCAGTGGAGCTTCATAAGTTCACCAAAAAAGCTGATGAAAACAAGAATCAACATGTATATCCGCCGATGAATTTATGGCGACAATTGGTCCATTGGCGCTCATCTCCGACGGTACGCCAACCACAAGCCTGGTAGCGCCTAATTCCGACGGTACACCAGCCGCTCAGCCTGGCAGCGCCCATTTCCGACGGCACGCCAGCCACAAACTGCGATAGCGCCCATCTCCGACGGTACGCCGGCCCCAAGTTTGTGAGCCATCCTCGAAGGCAGCCGGAAAGCAATCAGCATCCACCATTCCAGCGAACTTCTGCCTGTTTGGGGTTTTAGGTGCATGGGCTGGAAACCGGCTAGCGCGCACACACAGGTGCGCAGCCGACACTCCTCCCTAGCCGAGAACTTCCACATGCCCACATGGCACTCTCTGGCCCGACGAAAGATACGAGTAGCATGCACACTAACTACAATTGACCGCAACAGCGTAAAATTTTTCTGCGATGTGTGCTTTTATAAGATCCAGCATATTTGGGGGCGAAGTATGATAATTATGCGCCTGAACATGTTATTTCTGTTAATTTAGATAAATACCGTGACCTCTGATTGGTTTTTGTCATCAGTAAGAGCACGCACGATACAGCGACATTCCGATTTTTCGTATAAATGAACGGTAGAGACGAATCTGACACCTACCCTACTACATAGTGGTTGAATCAGCACCAGTACCTACAATTAACAGTACATAACAAAACAGGCGCAGACTCTCCCGCATACATGAAACAGTAGTTCCTGCGTACCAAGTACAATTGTACCTCCTACTACTGCGAAGATGCTGGTCGGTGAAGCGTACCGAAATAAAATTGTTTCAAGGAGACAGGTGCAAAAGCCCAACGCCAAGAGTCGCTAGATACATACATACATGCAATATTTGTAGGATGTTTTTGTTTTTGTAAAGTATTAAAGTTTCAAGCGCCATACATGAAAACCGTTACCGATTAATAAATTGCGTGCTGAACTGGTTGAAGGTCATTCACCGAGGATCAGGTTTGATCGTTACTAAGGACTGCGAAGACAGTCAGCGGTAAGTTCACGCGGACTACCCGGGTCGGTGCGGCATTCACAGTACGCAAAAAAAGAAGTTACTGCTCAGAAGAATACTTTTGTCGTTTCGAAGTTTTCGCCAGGTGGGAAACGCTAGCGGATTCTTTCGAATTTCCCTTCACATGAAAATCGGCTAGAGTGAACTAACTCCTTGTCCCGTATGTCCCATCCTACGGCAGTAATTAAAGACGGCTTAAAGAGCTAGACCACGTACTCTGTACTGTTGAGTAGCTGTCGCAGTGTAATGGCTGTAGTTGCAGGATAGAGTGGGTGCAGGCCCTGAGTGGGTGCAGTCGAATTCTATCCAGGAATGCCGATGTGGTAACATGAAAAGCTTAATCTACGATTTCCCTCCCGTGACCGCCATTCTGTTATCGTGAGCATACAGTGGCGTAGCCTGCCGGTAATAATAGGTTTAATGACTCTAACCCAGGCGCTCAATTTTTCCCGCTTGCACGGTTCGGGCATTTTCCGGATAAACATATACCGTAGAAATTACAATATCGCGCCAAATTACGGCCTCGCCTTAAGCCAACCGTGGCCGCCGCAAATGGCTTTGTAGCACAAAATATCGCTTGCAGTAACAAAAGCAAGTAATAGTTGCAATAACAGTTATCCATGTATTACTAGTCTTGTGAATCAATCGTTACTTAATCAATAATAAATAGAAATTATTTCAAATGGTTGAATTCTGGAATCGAGCCATCGCGATATGAAACTTGCCTGTCAAGTCGGCTTATCTTATTAGGATACTCTACTGCTTAATGCTTCCGCAAAGTTTTCTTCGAATTAAAGATGATCCCGAACGATAAGACGGACAAAATAGCAAGTTATCTCCTTAAGTAACGGCAGCAAATGGAACTTGAATGAGATAACGGAAGACGCATAACTTGGGTCGCGAGTTGGAGTGTGCGAAGATGATGTTGACTCACTAACACAAATTATGAGTACTATATTAACAACATTTCGAATATCTGGGTCATTTAGTTGCCATGGCACCTGTATAAATAGTATTAAATACTGTGTAATTTGCGCAGGCTGGCAGTAGCCAGTAAGTAACATGCAGCAGTCATTGCGAATTTAAGTATGCCTACACATTCAATCTTCGAAAACTGTAATTATGGGAATTTATTTATTTACTCTATCCACA